AAATGTGTTTATACTGCCCTTCTGTGTTGTGCCTGACCGTATGAAGCCTCAGTGTTGTGCTTCACTGTGTTTGGTGTTATCTCCAGCGTCATGTGCTGTGGCAGAGCTCTGGATCGAGTAGAAAGCAGGTCAATTGTTCTGCATCAGCCTCCTGTAGACCCGGCCGTGATGTATGAAGAGCTCTTTTGCATCTGACTTTTAAAACGGAGTTGTGATTTGCTAAATTACATTTACTCTATGATTATAGTTTGTTCTGTACAAAGATGCAGGTTGGCAAATTGCTGAACGTCTCGATCTGTTTTTGGTCTTTCAGAGTGATTAACATCAGCCTCCACTGTCATTTTAGTTTAGGCCACTAGAGCTGGTTTTAGTTTTAGGCCCAGCTTGTGTTGTGTTGTTTTTTTTGTGGTATTCTGATGTTTTCTTCATAACCTGTGATGACGATACTCCCTGTGTTTATGCCTGTGAGTGACGCCGAAGGCCAGTGACTCCTCTGTGTTTCCAGATAACTCTTCAAAACAGTGTGTGGAGAAACTGCAGCAGCCGTGCATGCGTGTGTGACTGGCGTGTCTCTCCTCGAGCGGATGTCGGGCTGCTTTGAGCCGCTGGACCGCTCTCCATCAGCCGGTCATGTGACCCGGTGACAGTGGATGGAAATACACAATCACTGCCGGATTTTGCTCGCTGTTGCACGGCTGCCACTTCAGCTATTTATAATGCGTGCCAGAGAATCTCCTGAGCACATGGCTAATCTATTACAGCTTCTGCGAGCCGAGCATCATTCCTTAAAATAGCTCTGTTTCTGCATCACTTCTTCGAGTCAGAACGTGCATGGCGTGGTTCTCCGGTGAAAGACCTCGCTCGCTCGCTCTGCTGAACTTTACTTTACACTTTATCAGGAACTGAATGAACGCTGCCTTTCAAAGATCGCAGACGAGCTTTCTTATCTTTTATATTCATTGTTCTTCACACCAAAGGACTCTTTTACCATGCGCAGAGAAGACTATAAAACTGAAAGTTGATAAAATGCTGTCTTGTGGGAATTGGATGAATTTTTGAAGTTTATTGTACACCATGTTGACTTGAAAATGTGATAACAGAAATGTTTATCCACTGACACTAGGGGAAATAAGCACTTCTTATAATAGTGCAATATTACCAGTAATCTCAATAGTAGACCTCGCATCAAGAATATTTCTACCATGCCATCGACTGACTATCATTTGGGTTTCGTGGCGTGATTGCAGGTATCAGGCGTGTTCAGGAGGAAAGCGTGGCCTGCTCCGCTCTTCTGCTCACCAGCTGAGCTCAAATTGAAGCAGGCCTGAAGCACTGACTGTCATCTTTCCTGCTGAACAAAGGCTAAAAACAGCTGCTGGCAACAGAAAGATAAGACCCCCGCTGAAGCCATACCTGTGCAGCTCAGTCGCCTCTCTGTGTGCATGAGGGACGTGCTGTCGGCTGCTCACAGAAGATCAGATTTCAGACGCTAAAGCAAAGAGGCCATTGTTCTGCAAGTGTGAAATTAGGGGTTTGTTTCTTTTACTGCATGTTTGCCAAGAAGTTGCAAAAGAAAAGTGTCATTTGCATCAGAGGTTGTGTGTTATTTTGATGATCTGAGAATGTAGGTGGGCTCACATCTGTAACACAATCCCGTTCTGGCTTGACGTTTGAAGTCTCCAGTAGTAGGGGCAGACTTTGATCACTTACGCTCATAATGACACTCTTTCAACAGATCAAACATTGGCTAGATCTCTTCTAACGCTGATAGACATCTTTTATGGCTCCTGCAGTTCCCAACAAAGGTTGCTGTGAGGTTTTAACACGCTTTAAACGTCCAAGAAAATACAGACT